CAATTTCAATAGGACGTTTTCAGGAGCCAATCTGTCGAGGTTCGTCTCAAACAAACCCAATTCTCTTCAAACTCCCCTTAGTAGCCTACAGTTAGCATTCAACTTCAAAATCATTTTATATCTACACTAACGTTGCTTGAGACCTATAAACATATAATAAAGTTCTAATACAGAATTAAAAAAAAAAAAACATGTTTGATTTTCAACTTTATTATTCTTTTAAATGTCATTTCTTGAGTCTATGCATAATAGCATCCAATTAAACATCAAATCTCTCATATTTTCTTAATAAAGCCACAAAGATCAATACAGAGCAGCTTCAATGACATCTGAGAGGTGAAAAACAAAGACAGGAATATTTACATGTTTGTACAATCGCATATAACAGCACAAAGTATCCATTAAAGTAGCATCAAACAAGCAACTCAAATGATAATTTGTTTAAAAATGTCAGTAGGAATCAAAAGAAAACACCCATACAGAAAAAGAACAATAACGTGTCAAAGGCCCCTTTTCACTCTTTATAACAGTGTTACTGACAAAAGTGGCAAACAGGACACGAGCAGCTAGTTTCTAAGAGCCGCATGACTCTCTCAACCAAGCTGCTTTTAGCACACACCATTCAGAGCAACTGACTTTTCTGCATAGCAAAAGGAGTGAAAGGTCACCTTTCAGAGGAAGAGAACATATACATTAAAATGACCTCTAAGGAGTTGTATTAGTACAACCTATTAGTCTATGATATAGGCTAATACAGCTTTTAAACTTTAAGGTCTGTGTGTTGTTTCTGTACTAAACAAAATTGCTGTAACTGGCAGCCGGTTTATCTGCTTACTGGTATGACAACAAAAGTTACTTCAAACCTTACCAATGTTTGCAAAACATGAAGCTGTATTTTGTTAAGTCTAATGCACAATGGATAACAGCTTTGAGTATAGCATAGATTTGGGCTGTGCAATTACACAGGTTTGAACACTTGAAACATGCTCATACTTGCATCTTACTAAGATTGTGTGGCAAGAACAATTTGTCAATACCATAAATGTACAATCTTCATGAATGTTAATCATTCATAAAGCATACAGCTTTCATATTGATACACTGTTTGGTATACAAATGAAAAGAGCATCCTAATCTAGAATGAGGGGTTTAACACCGGATAATTTACATTAAAAGAAAAAGTCCAGTAATGACAAAAATAACAATGATAACAAAATTAAAATCAAATCACACGACTGTCAAATGTTGTACCCAAAATATGCTGTTAAATAATTTAATGCAAAATATACAAGGCCAACCAAAGCCAAAATTAAATATTATAAAGGTATATAACATTTTTAACCGCACAATTTTTACAAAATAATAAAATAAAAACATTTTTTTCTGGAAAAAGAAAATAATATTGCAGTTGACGTGAGGTCCCCAAAATCAAATTCAGATTTTTCTGTGAAGTTACCATGGAAATCTCTGTTAAAATAACAAAAAAGTTAATAAAAGTAAAATAAAAGCACAACCTAAAAACAGCCACAAAGGTTAACAGAAGAGAACGATCACATAGAAGGCAAGAAAAACAGCAAGGACTGAACAACAGAGTTAACTAGTAAGGGAGTGGTGTTTTTATTTTTAATGACATATGATACTGAACTTCATATTAGAAATACTCTAATGCTAGGCAACGTTTAGGAGAAGTAATGTGGTACATGGCCTGGCAAAGCAGGAATGCTTGCACTGGCAGGCTGTCTGGTTTGACTCCTCCCCAATCTCACTTTGGCGCTACAATGGAAACACAACGGCTGAGTCTTAAAACTGTCTAAACATTTGAATACTGAGGAATGGGGGGTTGTGGGTAACTGCTGTCATACTGACTTTGTTTTGTCATCACACGGCTACTTCAAGTACTCTTAGTACCATTACAGATAAGAGGAAAGCTACCAAAGAGGAGGTATATGCATATAACTGTGTGCATTCAGAAAAAGATGATTGAAGTAGCTTTGGTTTAGATAGGAAAAAGAATGGGAAAAGGCAAGGCGAAAAAGTGAGTCGGCACACATTTAACACAGCACCTGAGGCTTAAAAATCAACTCCAACAGTGTGTTTGAACAGCAGTTTAACACAAAAAAACTCTAAAAGGTCCATTATTTAACCAGGCCTAGAAACAGAAAGACACTCTCACCTGGTGGCAGGTCAAGGATAGCAAAACTTTAACACAGCAGGTTTTGGCCATCATATAAACTCTCCCTGTTCACTACACAATGATATTTAAAAACAGTATAAAAGGAAAACAACAACCGGAAAACAAATGAACAATAAGGTTCCGGTAGAGTTGGAAGTCTGAGGGAGACTAAGTTACTCATAAAAAATATTGTTTAGAATCTTATTTCAAGGGTTATTTACAGGTTAGTTACTATAATGGCTTCTTTTAAATTTCCCAGTGTTCCCAGTATTCCAGTTTTCCTGTTGGAGCTTCTGTGTGGAAGTCTTAAAGCAGCTTCTGGATCATTAGAGATGATGATTTCCTTTATGCGTCATCAGACGACTTCAGCAGTTCTAGAAAAGCACCGACGGCTCCAAAGTATCCCTGAAATGCACACACACACACATATAAGTGTGCATATAAACATACATGTTTTCATTAAACTACCTCTCTATAAAATAAGTGATTCTGATAATCTTCACTGTTAGACACTGCTTCAAAAGTTTGGGTCCAGTATTGTTTTTACTTTTATTCAGCAAGGACACATTAAATAGCTCAAAAGTGACAGTAAAGACTTTTACATTGTTAAAAAATATTTCTAGTTCAATTAAATGCAGTTAGTTTACTAGTTAACTTTCTATTAATCAGTTTACTAGTTAACTTTCTATTCATCAAAAAATCCACAAAAAATATTAAGCAGGATAACTGTTTTCAACATTAATAATGATGAGAAATATTTCTTGAGACCTAAATTGGCATATTAGAATGACACTGAAGACTGGAGTAATGGCTGCTGAAAATTCAGCTTTGCCATCACATAAATAAATTACATTGTAAAATACATTAAAATAGAAAACAGTTATTTTAAATTGTAATAGTAGTTCATAATATTACTGTTTTTACTGTATTTTTGATCAAATAAATGCAGCCTGGGTGTGCATAAGAGACTTTGAAAAACATTAACAAATGTTATCACATCTTTTGAAAGATAGTGTATTTCAAAATATTTGAGAAAATAAATGAAACGGATTAAAAATAAATTCTTAAAACACTGAGAGAATTACCTCATGTTCCAGGAAAAGGGCCCTCAGCTGGCCCTTGGACCAGAAGTCCATAGCATAGGCAAGAAGCTTTGTCGACACTGTGTTTATACGCAGAAAGTTCCCCACAAAAACAACCCGTTCGATCTTCTACAGGACAAAACAGAAACATCGCTCAGTATGACCAGGATAGAATGTTTGGATGTTTTTCCACACTCATTTTGGAAGAAAATCTACAGAATTCTGTGGAACAGATTTAAACACTTAATTAGTTTAATTAGTTAAACTGAGTGCTGAGTACTGCATTCTTTCTGCAGGCCTATATTCCATGTGGGCCTGTTTATAAGTCTAAGGCCTGGTTTCACAGACAGGGCTTAAATTAAGCCAGGATTAAGTTATAGTTCAATTAGGACATTTAAGTATAAACATGCCTTGGAAAAAAAACATTACTGGTGTGCATCTTGAGAATAATCAGTGGCACTTACATATTTTAAGATAGGTCAGTGCAAGTTTCTTTCAGTTAAAACAGCTCAGACATGCATGGACTAGGCTTTAGCCTTGTCTGTGAAACTGGGAGTAAATTACCAGCAGGTTGACTCCTGCAGTACTTCTTCAGCACCAACAGGGGGAGTCATGGCACAAGCAATTCCTTTTATAGACGTTTTATAGGAGGTGCTCAAATAGGTGTTTTTGGTCAAATTTAAAGCATTTGCCATCACCATCTTGTCATAGATACTACTCTAATGTGATTAAAAAAAAATCATGTATTCTCCGGGTATTGTTGGGAGTTTCTGCTCTGATGGTGTTCTGTACACACTGAAAGCCCTGTACAATGCTGCTTGATCACCAAGCTACAAGGCAACACTGTAGAGAAGCCCAGAGTGGCCAGTCAGACGCTCACAGCTGGCACGCAGATGCACACATAAAAACACAACACACCTCATTAGCTGCACACATGCGTGCAATGGAGCCAATGTTGTTGGTGATAGTGATGAGTGTGGCTCGGGCCAAATCCTCTTTAGAAATACTGTCCCTCTTCTCTTTGCTCATCATGTGACCAAAGCTACAATAAAAACACAAGCACATATTTATGTACCTATCAGACCAGTTTATCTATTTAAAGAGACCAGTTTATCTACTTGTTGCATAATAACGTAATGCTGGATATGGAATGGCACTCCTTTAATTTACAGTGCAATTTCTATAGATTATGCATCTAAATCAGTGTAGATTGTGTAGTTATAATAAATGCAATAAAACAAAATTAACCAGTAAAATAAAAATAGACTAAAATATATAAATAATACATACATACAATCATTTATAAGCCAAAAATCATTTGGATATTAAGTAAAGGTCATGTTCCATGAAGATATTTTGTAAATTTCTTACCGTAAATATATCAAAACTTTTGATTAGTAATATGCATTGCTAAGAACTTCATTTGGACAACTTTAAATGCAATTTTCTCAATATTTAGATTTGTTTGCACCCTCAGATTCCAGATTTTCAAATAGTTGTATCTCGGCCAAATATTCAATAATTCAAAAAAAATTGACCCTTATGACTGGTTTTGTGGTCCAGGGTCACATATTATATAGGAGGTGTTGAATATTATCTTTAGCTACTTGCATTTTTTCTTATTATGTAGACAACAAGTTAAGTAAAAATATGAATATGCAATATAGTGGATATATTTAGCAAAATACTCTTCTTTATAGTTATTTTTTTTCTAGCTGACTAATGAGCTTATGGATGCCGAATGGTTATTCTGAGGTAAACGATTGTTACGTTACGTGGCATTGTTTACAAGCTTTACACGTTTTCCGCAGTTTGAAACACTGAATGAGCGATTGCATGAGACATTTCAGTAATCGTACTATAACTTGTAATATACCTTTTGATGTCCATTCATGTTTATTTCGTACTATAGTAGTAAAGGGAAAGATATGATGGGTTCACATGCTGCTTGAACTGAGGCATTAAAGAGCGCCAAAACGGTATTTATTGTTTGAATTTCATTATGAATTTTAAAGCTGATACTTTGTTTATTAAAAGGTAACAGAGCACAAAGTTTATTGCGATTGTTGGATGGCAAGTGTGCTACAAATAATAATTCACGCCTTAACAACTCAGCATATAGACCAGGGATGGCGAACTCCGGTCCTGGAGAGCCGCAGCCCTGCAGAGTACAGCTCCAACCCTAATTAAAACCTACCTGCCTGTAGCTTTCTAGTAACCCTTCAGACCTTGATTAGCTTGTTCAGGTGTGTTTGATTAGGGTTGAAGCAAAACTCTACAGCGCTGCGGCTCTCCAGGACCGACGTTCGCCACCCCTGATATAGACTAAAGATCCTGATAACAACAAGCCATATCAGTATCGATTATAAACGAGAATTGTTAACGATATTGTTAATGTCCACACAGCTGACAGCTTTACCTGTTGTAGTTTGTTCACGAAATAGACACTACTTTTCTTCACTTCGCACGTCTCTGTCATTTTCGATCACTCTCATGATGCACAACTGGAGCTGCTTTTAGCTGCTGTTTGGCAGAGATGAGGACTGTTTTTTCAATAAAACTTTGATGCGCATCGTCTCAGTTTATTACGTCAACATAACAAAAGATGTGATCACAAAACAAGCAGGAAAAAAGGCATTGCTTGCAAATTTTTAAATCATAACATGTCTATTTATATAAAAAATTTATATAGTCGCCAGTGGCGATCTCAGCAAAAATATCCCCATTTTAGGCGCAGTCTGGAGCCCTGAAAAGTATTAATTTCTTTCAAAAAAAAAAAAGACTGATAGCAAACTTTTAAACAGTAGCATCTATTAAAATAGCCATGAAAAGGAAGTAGGATCTTTGCATTTGTGACACATGAAACAGACAAGCCTACACACAATCCCCATAAATACGGCTCAGTAGTGTCACATTTCATTTGTGGATCTTTGTCACCTGATACCATGGACACAAACACAGTGTCTTTTGTACCTTGAAGCCACCGCAGACCCTTGTAGGCCGAAGCGCTGGTAGTCTCCTCCATAGATGTCCTTCACCAGTTTGTCCACATTGGTGCTGTCCCCTTTGCTGGCCATTTCAAGGGCCTCTTCAAAAGTCTCACAACCCGTCAACAGGCAGCAAAGCCCCAAAAACGTCCCTCCACCAAGACTAAAGAGAGAAAAAAAATAAGAAAAACATTTGGAGTCAAAACATGGTTACAGGCTACATCTGAAGTGCACATGTGCATTCATAAAAGCATACAATTTGACCTTGTGACCACTATTTAAACTATGTGCCTATGGCAAAAACAGGTCAAAAACAGACTAGCTTACAAAAGGAGACAAGTAACAAGTGTTGTGGACACTGCAATACAAAGCAAGGTCTACGTCACACATTATAGTTATTCCAAACTTTTGGTAAAGTATGTGTAATAATATAAGATTTTATGTTTTTGAAAGAAGTCTCTTATTCTCATCAATGCTGTGTATATTTGATTAAAAATACAGTGAAAATAGTAATAATGATTACAATTTAAAATGTAATTTATTCCTATCATGGCAAAGCAGAATTTTCAGCAGCCATTACTCCAGTCTTGATCCTTCAGAAATCATTAAAAGTTATTTTAAATAGTAAAAATAACACTATTGCTGATTTTACATTATTTTAATCGAACAAACACAGCTTTGGTGAGCGTAAAAGACTTTTCAAAAACATAGTAGTGTAAATTAATGTGGTAAATGTATAGAAATGACTAAACCGAACAGGATCAAATTGACAGGGAAACAAACACAGATGTTTATAAAATGTGAGTAGTAGTTCCTGATCCTCCTGTGATTTGCACATCAGCTTTGACTACTCCTGACAAATCTCCTCCCTTCTGCCAATCATGGCTGAAAGACTGTTACATTCTGCTACAACCACATTTAAAACGCTCATCCATCGACTGACAGTCAGTAAACTTCACAACCTACTCAGTTGTCAATCACAGATTTGTTATCATCCGAAGATGACTCAGGCTCATGTTTCAAAGGAAAAAAATGAACACAGCAGGAAGTGATTTTGTGTTCTTTTGCTTCCAACAGGCTTTTGATTCTGTGTCCATGAAAGACGAGGAAACAATCAAGTTCATGAAGTTAGCAAATGGTAAACTCATATTTCATACCGGAGAGATAACTTTTAAGATAAAAGCTCCATGGCATGGATGGATCACGACGAAAGTTGCTCATAGAAAACACAGAAGCAGCAAATTGCTTTTTCAGCCATTATCGACATTAAAACATCCCTGTGTGAATTTCTTTTGGAAACAAATGGACAAAACCACAAAATCCTAATTTTATCACATAGTTATTGAGAGTGTAGTGCACTTGAATTGGCTTTAGAATCTGCCAAACCAATGTAAATGTTAATAAACTAGTTTAGATGGGCATGGACTAAGTCTGGCCATGTTACTGACAACTCCTATTTGTAGGTTTCTTCTATATGGTGCATGTTGCTCAGCTGTGCTGACCTGGTGCCTGTCACTCGTTTGTAGTTGTCCTTGGTGTACACTGCCAGAATGCTGACGCCCGAGCCAATGTTGACCAGCAACATGGGAAAAAGGTTGTCAAGACAACAGGGTCTCTTGATGCAGTTCTGTGTGTCGGAGGGGTTCTCAAAGTAATAGCACTCAGGATGACCGTTAAAACCGACCGAGTCTATGTACAGCAGCCCCTGGATCAGACAGTCCAGCTCATCCAACTTCAGCAGCTCTAGGTCTGCCATCTACAAAGAAAAAAAGAAGGATTCATGACTACCCATTGCTCTGAACGTACAAGTTTCATCCCTTAAACATATTTCCTGATGACTTTTTTATTAAAAGAAAAAATATGATGCTTCGACTTTACATTTAACAGTTAGGACTTTATCAAACAGAGACCTTAATATTTTTATAGGTCAGTTTAGGTGAGTTTTAAATTAAACATCCCTAAAACAAGATATATAATACATTACTAAAGTTAAAAAGTTTGGTGTCAGTATGATTCAGCAAGGATGCAGTAAATTAGTCAAAAGTGGCATTAAAGACTTTTACACTGTTACAAAACATTTACATTTCAAATAAATGCTGTTCTTTTGAACTTTAGAAAATAAGTGTATCACAGCTTCCACAAAAATATTACTGTTTTCAGTAATATTAAGCATTAAATCAACATCACAATGATTTCTGAAGGGTCATGTGACACTGAAGACCGGAGTAATGGCTGCTGAAAATTCAGCTTTGCCATCCCATTTAATAATTAAATATTAAAGTATATTACAAATATTTTCTAAAATATGTTTTTTAAATGTAATAATATTTCACATTATTTTTTTTGACTGTATTTACTGTATTTTTTCACCACCGTGAAATCTCATTGGTCCACATAATACTCCACATAGCTGTATGTTAAACATTTGATTTTACTGTCAAACCAGTTTGAAAACCATGCTGTGGTCCATCTTCTTACCATTCTGAAGTCGTTCTCAAACTTGTATGCCCCACCACCAGTGGCGCACAGTGTGGTATGCAGGCTGGAGAAGTGCTTATCTCTGCCCATCTGGATGAAACTGTGCATGGCAGTGGTGGGGAAGCGGATGAAGTGAAGGTTCCCTGTACGACCGCAGATTGTCAGGTTGCGTAGCTCCAGGTGTACATCACGGACGCCGGCTTTGCCATAGGCCGTGTTGGAGGTGAGGTACCTGCGTATGCTCTTCAGATTCTCCACCTCTTCCAGCTCCTCTTCTGCAGTGATGTCTTTTGGCTCGAAGTAAACAAGCTTTACTAAAGTACCACCGATATCCATCCCAAACCATGGAAAAGCTAGAAAGAGATAAAGAGACTGATCAACATGATTGTATAAGTTGTGTTCCAAAGATAAACTAATGAACTAGACTGGCAAATAAAAACTACTAAAAAACCCTCAAGTACACAATAAAATAAGGAAAAGGTGAGTTAAAACATTTTAAAAACAACACCTTGACCATATGTTTGTAGTGTGTACAATATTACAGTTCAAAAGATTTTTCTCTTTTTAAAGGAATTAATATTTTTATTCAGCAAGGATGCATCAGATTGATCAAAAGTGACAGTCAAGACTTTTATATTATTTTATGTTGTTGTATAAAAGATTTCTATTGTTAAAAAATGCTGTTCTTTCGTACTTTCTATTCACCAGAGTCCTGAAAAAAGGAACCATGGATTCCACAACACTGGTAATTAAAAGAAATGTTTCTTAAGCACCAAATCAGCATATTATAATGATTTCTGAAAGATCATGTGGCACTCAAGACTGGAGTAATGGCTGCTGAAAATTCAGCTTTGCCATCACAGGAATGAACTACATTTCAAAATATATTAAAATAGAAAACACTTATTTTAAAATTGTAGTAATATTTCACAATCTTAATATTTTTCTTTGTATTTTTGATCAAATAAATTCAGCCTTTGGTGAGCATGAGAGGCTACTTTCAAAGCAGCTAAACAAACAAACAAACAAAAATCTTACCAACCCCTAACTTTTACAAGCAAGCAAGCAAATTCAAACATTGCAAGCAGGCCAGACAAAGAGAGGCAGTCACTGCAGCAGCTAATGAAGAGTTGGACAGTTACCATGGCAACAGCCATGAGACTGCAAATGGCTGTTCTAGGATGCTTAGCAGGTGAGAATCACACACTAAGACAGCAGAACCAGTACAAATGTTCAAACTGATGCAAAGGTCTGTTTCTATAATTAAATACATATCAGTACACAGAAATGTCCAATTTGACCTAAATTATAGATCAGTGTCTAACAAGCTTATCAAGTAATAGGTAAATCATTACCGATATGACTCTTACATCTGACATTCACTGACACCAGAGAAATCTGGAAGAATTAGGGCAGGTCAGGGACACAGATCTGAACTTGAATAGCCTGGAACACGCAGATCTATCTGTGACTGATCAATCAGATTTATGACTGACCTGCCAGGTATAAAAACACTGTCAGTGTCAGCTGGTGCTGCACAGGTGACCTGCCTGTAACCAGAACGCTCTCTGCTACAACATCATCTCAAATGACCCTCACGCTTCTTTCCCCCGCTAATATAGATCTTGGCGTATGCTGGGAGAGTTATTTTGGACATCACTCTTATTTCAGAAAATGCAATCAAGTGGACGAGAGGCCATCTAAATTAATATGCACGTGCTCTGCTTCCAGTTTTAAAAAACACAGGGGAAATGCATGTTATTTGAAGTGAAAAATGCAGAAGAATATCCTAGCCAGGAATGAAAGAATGTTACTTCTTCATTGACCTGAATGACCTGATCCAGAAGCAGCAAGTGAACAGGGGGTGTGACAGTGGTGTGACATAATGACATCAAACAGCCCATGTGGGTGAAATGTCTGTTTACTTCCCCCAGTCAGCCAGGCATGGAGAGGGAGGGAGAGAGAGAGAGAAAATTGGCAGGCAAGTGTGTCCATGTGAGGGGCTGGGAAAGGCGAAGAAGTGGCGAGAGAGAATGTGACCGAGAGAAGGAGAGGGGCTGACAGAGAGAAACTGGCAGGCAAGTGAGTGTCCATATGAAAGAGAAGGAGGCTGTGCAAAAGAGTGAGAATGAACCCATTACTTACCCATTAGACAAAGGTTGGCGACTGCCTTGAGCCCCCAAAAGCCAAGGGCCCCCTAAAATGCTTTTCATATACGAGATGTGCATTAAGCACGGACACGTGAACGCTTGCTGTTTAACGTGTTTATTACCAAAGTCCCTTTAAGGCAAGTCATTTCACTCGGTGGCCATCTTTGAAACGCCTCTCGGGCATGCAAGTGCAGCTCCTATCTCTTTGAATGGGGAAACATCAAATTCTCCAAAACTGTTTGCCAAGCTTACGATTAAATTTCATTAAATTTAATCACCAATGAAATCTGACAACAACTGTCTCATAAATGTTGTTTCTTTTGCTCAAATAGTGTTAAAAAAAGCTTATTTTTCAGGCTAGACCATCCAGTGCACATGCGCAGTCCTAAGCACCCGTCTCAGAACGCTGACTGTTTCTATAGCAACAAGGACTTCTAACGGCAGCTGCAGTGATGCGCTGACTTCATCATTTAGCGATTGGTTCTTTTACTTAGAAGGCGGGGCTTCCTTCGATAGAGTGGCCATATTGAGCGTGGCATTTTTCCCCGACAACCGTCTGCGTTGAACGTGTTTCTTGTGTATCCTGCTTGTAGCAAATAAAAATATCATTCATCTGAACCTGTAATTAAATATTGCGCAACAGTGTGTATTATATGTTTATTGTTTTAAATGCCGCTTCATTTATGAGAAGGGCCCAAGTAGAGGACGCATACACAGTTACTTATTTGGTTGATATAATCCTTAGGTGTATAAGTGCATAGTTTCCTTTTCATAATTTTTTTCAGTTTAATTTAAATTTGTAGTTAAAATAACAAAAAATAAATGTATTTTAAAGTTTACAATTAAGACAGTCTTTGGAGAGTGTAGGCAACTGGTCTGAGCTCAGGCACACAGGCTTACACTCATCAGTGGACTTTCCTCATCAATATAGGTTATATTTTTTAACACTTTTCTTATTCTCACTAATTCAAGTTTTTATATGAATGAATCTCTGAAGGGAACCTACTGTCTTCAGAAAAGTTTTGATGGCATTTTCATTTTATCTGATAAAGGAGCGTTAATGAGCAGAGCGCTGCTTTGTTTACAGCCCTTACCGGGGAAACCCCTATAGACCATTTCAAGCATACTGTACATATGTATATGTATATTAATTTAAATTGTAATAATATTTCACAATATTACTGTTTTTGTCTGCATTTTTGATCAAATAAATGCAGACTTGATGAGCATAAGAGACTTCTTTCAAAAACATTATAAAAAGTAATGTCCAAACTTTTGACCAGTACTGTATGTAAACAAAAAAACACCCTCTCAATTTCAACTCCTTTTATTTCCAACAAATGTATTAATATTTGTAAATATTTGTATAAACATAAAATGCTTCAACAACTAAAACATCAACATAAACACGTTTCACAGATATTTGACAAACAAAAATGGTCACGTGGTTTGGCAGTGCAGGACGATCAGCTGTCCTTCCTGTCTCCCTGAAGCACTGTCTTAGGTATCTTACATTACAGATGGTGGCTTTCCTAAAGACAAAAGTAGAAAAACAATTATTTGATTTAATGCACAATATTTAAAAATAATACTATGATTGTTTAATACATCTGTATATGTTGGAATTAACATTAGCTAATGTTTACCATTACCTTTTGTAAACTACTGCAGTTAACCGTTACACAATACAACATTCAAGTTTACAGTATAAATTTCTATAACGTGTTATTCACCGCATTTTTCTGCTGACAAGATAGCAAACAACTAATGTGAACTCATACTTAATTATAGCTCACATATAACACTTCGCAATAAAACATAAATAAAAAAGTATGTGTCCGAAATCGCATACTTCCCTATTATATAGTAGGCGAAAAACAGTATGTGAGGCGAGTAGTATGTCCGAATTCATAGTAAACGAAAAGTACCCGGATGACCTACTTCTTCCGCCCGGATTCTGAAGTGCATATTCGATGGACACTTTACCATCCCATGAGGCCAAGGGAGAGGATTTATGAATGGCAGTGAAGCGACGCAACTGACGCTGGTAGGTCATGTGACAGTAACAACAAGGCAGATGTAGTACGTCCAATTTTCATTCATACTACCCATATTCATACATAAAACATACTTTTTTAACGAAGTAAATTCAAATTCAAATATAGTACCTTCTCAGATAGTAAGCAATTTCGGATGCACCATTTGCTTTTTTTTCACTAGACACGAACCAAAACGCAATGATGAAATTACAATGCTAGCTTAAATTATGCTGCATCATTCTTTAAGAGTTAACGTAAAGAAATACAAACAATCAAATGAAAAAAACAAAAACGACATTTACTTGCCTGAATCAAAATGTTTTCTGTATATCCTAGTTGCTAGTTGTTATCCAGCCTTCTCGCTTCACTGCTGCAATCCAGGCACGTTTCTCGGAAATCTCAACACTTAAATTTCCGAATTTTAGCTCCGGGCCAGAGGGAGCACCCAACCACCGAGCAACAAGGATCTAATTTTAATTTTGACATTTTAAACAACAAGTTTAAATAAATGATCACAATCTCACTGCGCTCGACCACTAACGGGAAACGTTCAAGGAATAAAGACGTCACTTCCTTAAACCGACAAATAGCCGTTGAAATCATAGATATGTATAGGTAGTAGGGATATGCCGGTATCAAATTTTCATGTTGCGATTAATTGCTAATGCTTTTATTACGATTACCGTGATATATCGCATTACCGAATACTGGCACAAGTCTAATAGGTAGATGCCACATTCGACCACTCCAAGCATGAAGACGTGCCCGCCATCTTGGAACGGTGTATGTGTTGTCACTCACAATAAAAATCAACATTGAGCAGCCTCTGGATGTAAAAACCGCCGAAATTTAAATTCCTAAAGGAACTGGATAAACTTTCACAGGTAAGAATGTGTTGGCTTCTGTTTAGTACCTTTTTTTTCCCACATGCTTTATTACACAGACAGATAAAAACAAAACATAACATAGGACAATACAGTAAAGGGAACATTGTCTGCGCTTTCTTTTATCTTACCCCCACATTTAACTCTGAATGATAATCAAAACAGTACAGGGAAAGAAGAAGAAGAAAAAAAAGGGTTAATTCAGACAAGAACTAGACGAACAATAACTATAGTACCTTTTAAATGTCGTCTTAGCTAACGTCTTTGTCTTGTATTGTGT